GAGGAGCTTGATGAACTTGATGATGCACTCTTGCTTGGTAGTTTCGCTCTTGGATTTCTTCGCGAAGTGCTTCTTCTTGATTGCGCATATCTCGATTGTGGTTGGCGACAGCTCGACTTGACTCTCGAAGGGCACGTTGCGCCTCAAGTGCTTGTGCTTAATGTTGTTGTTGTTGTTGTTGTTGAAGACATTGAGCCTCGGCATCTTGTTCGTCTTGGTGTTGGCGCGCTCGCACTTCCTCTTGGTGACGTTGACGTTGCCTTTCTTGTGCTTGTGCAAGAGTAGCTTGGTTTTGGTGATGACGATGTGCTTTCTCGTCGAAGTGCTCTTGTGGATGATTACCGTGTAGAGGATTGCGAGTTGCTTGACAGTCTTGGCGCGTGGCTCAACATAGAGGGTGTCGTCGGAGTGTCGACTCGAGCCGCTCCGTCTTGAGTAGGACGAAGTGGTAGAATGGCGGTTCACCAACAAGGCACGAATCTCGTCCATTCTTGCATCGTTCTCTTATTTGTGTGTGTTGAGCTTGTTGTCGAAGTAGTCTCTTGTTCGTTGCTCGGAGAGTCGCAAGTCAGTGGCGAGATCTTCGATGCGGTCGGTCATTGCTTGTTGTTCTTGATGCAAAGCTCTTTGTGCACTAAAGAGGTGGCTCTTGGTGACATAGGATGACATGTCATCGTCTTGCTCGATGAAGAGTGGGTTGGTAGAAGAACTTGGCCTATCCATCATTCCAAGCAAACATGTGAGTGGAGAAAGAGAAGAACTTATACCAAATGTACCTTGACCGATGTTGAAGATGGTCAATGATCACTCAAATGTGGAACAAGGAAATAACACAATTGGTACCAATTCTTGTTGGTTCTCACACCTACACAAGTAAAAGCTTATGGTGGAGCTCGGTTAGGATGGTGGCACAAAATTTGATGCAATTGTTAATGAGACTCAAAGATGTTGAAAAAGATTCGCAAATTCGCAAATGCAAGAAAGCAAGTAGAGGCACACGGAAACACATACGCAAATAGATAACTGGGGTTGTGCAAACCAAAAATGAGCCAAAATGTGGAATCCACGAAAATGCTCTTGTTGCACAACACTAGAGAGACGCTAGCACGATTGCACAATAGGTGGATATGAAACTTGTGCACAACCTACTAAACAAAAATGCAACAACTTCTATCCCAAGTATGCTATATGTATGGTATTCCGGTGATATGATCCAAGATGATCGAGTATGACAATCTTAATGTAGTATGGTGCTATGGTTCTTGCTTAAAAGCTCTTTGTTTATCTTTCCCTTTTTGCTTAAAAGATTGTTTGGCTCGTTCTCTTTTGAGCTCTTTTCTCATGAAAAACTTCGCGAACCAAGATATATAGCAATTGTGTATGCGATGACAACTTTGTGACACAAGAGATGATACCAAGATATGCACCATGATGATATGGTATGTATGCTATGGGAAGTATGATCACTAATGTGCACAAAGTCATGTTGCCAGCAATACTCAAAGGCTAGTCTCGATAGGCAAGGTATGCAAAATTGGGCTATGGTGGTTATCAATGCAATCGCAAGGAGTAGATAAAGATTTCATCGAGGTTACCGTCCTTGCTTACGGTTGAAGTTGTCGATGATGAGTCCGTGGCGAAGATGAGCGGTGGTGATGTTGATGTTGCACCTTACCTATATAGCCGAAACACAATAGGACACGAGAACCACAACTCAAATTCTCAAAACGAAAGTCGAATGGTGGTACAGTTTGGTATGTTGTGGGGTTGGCTGAGTTTAGGTGGTGGTGGTCGAAGTGGGTATGCGGAGGCGTAGGTGGTGATGGACAAAAACTACAGAAAATGCAGTTTCGGCAAAGATAATCAGATGATTTGGGCCAGGAGTTGGATGATCCGGGCGGGTCCAGATGATCCGGGTCAAGGTCCGGATGATCCGGGCAGGTCAACTGCGCACGGGAAAGGCTCGAGATGAACTCGAAAACGGGGAGAAATTCGAGTATTTCTTGGATTTTGGATGGATTTCGAGGGTGAGATGGTGGGGAAAGGCAAGATCCACTAGCAACACAACGAATTCACGGATCAAAATAAACAAAACTTCATCATACCAACAAATCACAAAAAAATTATGGGGGCTATTTTTGTGGGGATTTTCGGATTAGGACGAAAAACAACAAAATCAAGCTAGAAAACAAAGGGTAGGGGCTCCAAGTACGTGATCAACGTGGCTCATGATACCAAGATGACGTAGGGTAGAACCCTAGATGCCCGATCTTTCACGATTGGAGGGGATCCTATGAAGAACACGAGGGGAAACACGAGAGAAATCACACAACCAACAAGATATGGTCACACATATGCTAGATCCTCGAAACACAAAGAGTGATACACGATTCAAAGTCAACAAAGGACGATACAAAAGGTCTTCTCCGCGAGGAGGTCTTGAAGAGTCTTCCCGTGATGGGGTCTTGAATCCGCTTGGGGGATCTTCTCTGAAGAGGTCGTGAGCTCCGAGGAGAAGTAACCAACTGGATGAGCAAAGCTCTATCTCAAGTATGAGCTAAACCAATGCTAACCCTAGAAAAGAGGTGGAGGAGTCGTTTATATAGGCAAAGGGGGCGAGGGGATACATGGGCCTCAGCCCAACACGCGCACACAGGGGGGGTCCGGATGATCCGGACGGGGAGCCGGATGATCCGGGCTTCAGAGATCCGGATGATCTGGGGGACGGTCTGGATGAGGCAAAGGGGCAGGCGGTGGCGGCGACGGCCCTGATGTCCGGAGGGGGGGGTCCGGATATCCGACTCGGGTCCGAATGATCTGAGACTCGCCCGGATGGTCCGGGTTCGGGGTCCAGCTTCGGGTGTCTTCGGGCACATTATCCGGATCGTCCGGACCGGGGTTCGGATCGTCCGGGCTCTGTCCGGATCGTCCGGGACCTCGTCCGGATCATCCGGCCAGCCTGGGACATGGCTGATTTCTTCTCCGTCTGCGCGCATGTCTTCCGCTTCCGATTCTCCTTGCTCCTTAGCTTCTCAATGGCTAACTCCTTGGTACCTGAGTATGCAAAGCGTCTCCGTTTGAGGTAGTAGCCATGTCTCATGTGATTCGAAAGGGAGTTGTGAGAGGAGTGATGTCACCTCAGTTCCGAGAGCTCTTGCGCGTGCTCTTGTCATTGGTCCAAGTGGTGTCGTAGGAGATGTAGATGAGTCCATGGGGATGATTGTGGGATGCTTCACGTCAACAACCCTACCTAATTAAGCGGGAGCCAGACATGCAACATGGAGGCAAACCTGAATTCAGGGAATTAGAACGTGAACCAGATACATCACCATCCAACCCTTGTATGGGATAGTCGGTCTTATCCCCGACAGGACGGGCTGCACGACAAGCACGAGCGACCAATCGCAGTCATGAAGTGAAGCAACTTCCGAACAACATGTTCATGAATGATCCGCTAAATGTTTGCACTCCCATGAAAGGCGTCACTGATCAAATAGAACAATCAACGATGTCCAAACAACGAGAAAAAAGGCAAACGAAGGAGACATGGGGAATATAAATAAGCAAACAAACCGACATGACCCACCACACGAGCCGGGCATGAGGACACAGGACCCTAACAGCCCAGCCGGATAAACGTGAAGCATCCGAGCAACTACCAGACCAACCATCAGATATTCTCTCCATGCTTACGCTCCCTTCACTGGACACACATGGGTCGTACAATCGCATTGCCAACACAGAGGACAACGATGACATGGATGACCCCGCGTGGCGTGGAGGCGCGCCGGCACTCTCTGACGGGCCGCGCGTGGAAGCTTCATGCCGGTTACAATCCCGTCAAAAAGATACGAGAAGGTCATCTTCTCATAAACCCGAGGGAAGAAAATGCCTCTTTTACGTGATCCTCTAAACTTAAGGCCAATTTACGTGAACTGCCATAGCGTTTTTTTCTCCAATTTTCCATAAACAACGATTATTTTAGAGAATTGAGAAATGGTTTGAACTGCTCTAACTCCATTTCCCAAAAAGAAAGAAATAATACTCTCTCTGTTTATTTTTAGTTTGCATATAAGATTTGGTTAAAGTCAAACTTTGTAAAGTTTGACTAGTTTTGTAACAAAAGATATCGGCATTCACACTATGAAATCAATATTACTAGATGCAATGATTAAACTAATTTTCATAACATATAACTTTTGTATTGTACTCCCTCCGTTTCTAAATATTTGTCTTTCTAGACAATTCAAATGGACTACAACATACAGATGTATATAGACATATTTTAGAGCGTAGATTCACTCATTTTGCTTTGTATGTAGTCACTTGTTGAAATCTATAGAAAGATAAATACTCCATCCGTTCGGAATTACTTATCGTAGAAATGGATGGATCTAGACATTTTTTAGTTCTAGATACATCCATTTCTGCGACAAGTAATTCGGGACGGAGGAAGTATTTAGGAACGAAGGGAGTAGATGTTAATTTTCATAACATATAACTTTACAAAGTTTGACTTTGATCAAATCTTATATACAGACTAAAAAATAATCTCTGCCCACGAAATATCGGATGAGCCCACAGATTACACGAACAAACACGCGTCCATACTGACCAGACAGGGACAAATCTCTCTCTGACCACCATCGCCACCACGCGATCACAGAACCGACGGCCCAGATCCCCACGACGCGGACGCGGACCAGAGCAAGGAGCCGAACACCCAACGCAGCACGCCGACCGAACGTGCCGGGCCCGGACACCAAAACCGGGTCCCTGTCGGACCAGGCCACCCCACGCGAACAAACCCTACCCTATCCGTCTCCGCTTGCTTCTCCTCCTCCCTCCCCTCCGCTCCTATATCAGCCACCGCGACGACCCCCTCGAGAGGCCACCGCGACTATCTCCACCGACCGCAAACCACAGAGCGCCCGTCGTATTCCGAGCGAGAGGATTCCCGTCTGCGCGTCGGCGAAGAGGGTCGAGGAGGAGCAGCGCCCATGGATCGCTACCAGAGGGTCGAGAAGCCGCGGGAGGAGGCGCCCATCGGCGCCAACGAGATCCGCATCACGGCGCAGGGCCGCACCCGCAACTACATCACCTACGCCCTCGCCCTGCTCCAGGTAAGCGCCGCCTTGCCTGTCCACATCCGCTCGCCGCCGTCGGTTCCAGGGAGCGGGTAGACCGTTTTTCCTTTTTACGCCTGGCGATTTTTGGTTAGGGTTTAGTACGGGTTCAGTCCCGATGTTGGTTAGGTGATTAGGGCATCCAATCGCAGAGGTTTACTGTTCGAAGGCCCTTGCGATCCGTTATGGTGCTATAGGCGTTGGTTTGACTAATAGTATTCGCTATGATATTGTGTACTACTTGGGGAAGGGACCGCTTTCCGTACGATGCTTTGTCTATTGTTGCTGTTGGTGGATGTCTAGGGTTTATGTTTGATATGCAACTTTTAGGAATCTACTGATTAGCTTTACTACTTGATACTCGATTCAAGTTTACAGTCGGGCATTGGGATGTTATTAATTTTATTACTGTATCATCATTACTAGTATTACTGTTTTTTATGTGTGTGGATCTATACTATGCCAGTGAGATTCAATAGTCATTAGGTTGTCTTGTGGTTGAGTGGCTGAGTGCCTTCCTTCGCTTGAATGTGTGCCCGTTGCTGTTTTAAGTTTTAGAACGATAATCTTGGGCATATCTATTTCTTTTTATTCACAAGTACCTAAAGCACCTATAACTTTCTGTCCTTAACAGGAAGAAGCTACAGATGAAATTGTTATAAAGGCTATGGGAAGGGCTATCAACAAGACAGTGGCCATTGTGGAGCTTCTCAAGGTAGAACTGGTTCAAATTGCTAGTAAATACTTACTACTCCTTGCAGTTATACCAAGTTAACATTTTCAAGCTATGTCTGAGCAGAGAAGGATTGCTGGTCTCCATCAGAATAACTCCATCGAATCAATCAATATAACTGACACTTGGGAGCCGTTGGAAGAAGGCCTGAATGTGTAAGCACTGGATTTATTAGCATAGTGTAAACACTTCCAGTTTTTGAAGTACATCGTGTTTCTGACAGAATTCTTGTACGACTTCTTGACAGACTTGAGACTACTCGCCATGTTTCCTTGATTACCATTACCTTGTCAAAGAAAGAGCTGGATACATCGTCTCCTGGGTTAGTAGCATCATCCTTTTCCTTTCTTTTTTTATGTCTGATCAATACTTGGTGGGGAGTTGTAACTTGCGTATAGTTTCTCACATGCCATGGAATTTATTTCTGCGATGGTTTGTTGTATCACGACGTGGTTCCACCTCAGTTTTTGTTATGTTTTCTCATTTAACAAGCGCATGCTCACTAATATACAAGGACTGGAGAGAGTTTGCAATCGCTTATAACTAAAAATATTTATGTAGGATTTTTTTGCCCTAGACACGCCTTTTGCCTATTTTAGAAGCAATCCTGGTCTTGTCTGTTAAATAGGGCTATGCACAATTTTACTTTGGGGACTCATCTCTTGACACATTTGAAACACGGCTTTGAATTCTGCAGTTACCAGCTACCGATACCAGCTGATCAGGTCAGGCCACCAACAGAATTTGATCAGGATGCAGAGGATGTGCCAAGTGGCCGTGGAAGAGGCCGTGGTCGCCGGGGAAGGGGCAGGGGAAGAGGTAAAATATCTGCCTGTTTACACTGTATCGTAAGTTAACTATGGAATTTGCTCATGTTGTTTTGTTCCTAATTTTTCTTTACATTTGGGCCATTGTGATATATAGGAGGGTTCAGCGATGGAGGGGCAGACTACGATGATGAGAATGGAGACATGGAAGGTCCACGGGGATATCGTGGCAGAGGGAGAGGAAGGGGTAGGCGTGGATCCTTTGGGCCTGGAAGGGGTTATGGTGGTGATGGCTATGGCTATGTAAATGAAGAAGCTGGTGGGTATCATGGCATGGAGCATAATGGACCTCCTGTGCAAGGATATGGTTAGTTCTGTTCAAATTTTCTACTAACAGCCCCCAGTTTTTATCTTGATGTGAATAGTATCGTTTTTGCACTATTCATGCTGTATTTGTCTTTTTTGTTGCTCAATGTGTTTTTCGAGTTTGGATCTGAATTTTTTGAGGTTATTATGGATACATCACTAGTAAAAAATATAGTGACTTAATGCTAGACCACTTAATTAGAGATGTGCAGAACCACAGATAGTATTTAAAATCTCAGTGTGATGCTAATATTGTGCTTTGACTAAGGTAGAAAGTAGTGATGATATTATAAATTGGCTTTCCTTTGAATAATTCTTTCCCAGTTGCCCAACTTCTCTCTGAATATTACCACTAAGCAATGTTATCTTATGAATCTCCTGTGCAGAAGGTGATGGAGGAAGGGGCCGTGGTCGAGGACGTGGACGTGGCCGTGGACGCGGTGGGGGTCGTGGCCGTGGACCATTTCCTCAAGGACCTCCTCAAGAGTAGTTTGGCTGGCCCATCGACTGCATGCAACAAGTCTCATCTTTGCTAGATTAATGGCTGTTGTAACTTTATGTGGTTAGGTTTATGTTTAAAGTTGATAGAGTGACTCTCAGTGTGGGGGGGTGAGGCTAGTTATGATTTTGTAGCTAGGTTAATTCTTCCATTTGCTTTCATATACCAGACCTGGTTATCATTCCAACTGTGCATTGTAGCATCCTGAATGTGTTTATCATCAAATCTAGCTCAGAAAATTTGTTTATGATGTTGCTGCCCATCGTTTTATTTGTTTGTGATTTTGATCTGAGCATGGCAGCTGGAATCAGTTTGCCCAGTGTGCTGATGATTTAGAGTATTCCTGTGGCAAGGCTTGAATTTGTGGACTGGGCACATGAAAAACATAGAAATTACTCGGTTTGCTCTGCCTAGTTGAGAATTCAAAGGAATGTTCGCAGCCTGATTATTTTTTCGGAAAGGTGGATTACCCCTAGCCTCTGCAAGTCAAAGGCTTTACAAAATAATTACACAGATCAACTCAAAATCACGTACCTGCAAGGTTGATGATATGCCCTAACCTCGCGCCACGCACATCTCTGCAAGTAAAAAAAAACACAAATCAAGTCAACAAAAAGAAAGCACATCAACCTCTGCAAGTAAAAAATAAATAAATACACAAATCAAGTCAACAAAAAAAATACACAGATCAACCCAAAGTTGCATACCTACAAGATTGATGATGTGCCCTATTTCAAAAAGAAAAGGTTGATGATGCGCCTTACCTTGCGCCACGCACATCAAGAAATCGGTGGCCTCATCAAGCCGCCCGGCTAGCATGGAGAAAAGGTGGATTACCCCTAACCTCTGCAAGTCAACAAGGCTTTACAAAATAAATACACAGATCAATCCGAAGTCACATACCTACAAGGTGCTGATGTGCCCTGACCTCGCGCCACACACATAAGAAATCAGTGGCCTCACCAAGCCGCCCGTCGGCTAGCCGCGAGAAAAGGTGGATTACCCATAGCATCTGCAAGTCAACAAGGCTTTACAAAAAACAATGTTTTACAAAAAAAAATACACAGATCAACCTAAAGTCACATACCTACAAGATTGATGATGTGCCCTGACCTCGCGCCACGCACATGGAGAAATCAGTAGCCTCACCAAGCCGCTCGTCGGCTAGCCGAGAGCACCAATTGGTCGCATGCACACATGAGTCTTGACGCCACCCTCTTCCTCAGTCCCATCTTTAGGGGCACGACGCCGGACAACACCAGCCTCCTATGCGCGCCCATCAAATGGTAGGTAGACGGCATGCCGCTCCACCATGGTCACTGCACGAGAAGCATAGAGGCCCACCACTCCTCTAGCCAGTAGCTGCTCCAAACGATGTCCCCATTAGGTATAACGACGTCGAACGTCGCCATCGTCTGTTCCGGGAGGCCCAGATCCAGGGTTTCTCCCAGAGCAACCGGGGGGGGGGGGACAAGAGCTGCACCAACAATGCCTTCATCAAGGTAATGACACCCCAAGATGCCGCCACCATCCGCCGTCAAGGACGCCCTGGTTTCACCGTCAGTCACATCTCCCAACCTCACCGCCGACCGATCTGTGAATTTCCACCCCCAGCTCCAACTGCATCGAGGACCGGGCCGCAACCCAAATATGGAGGCGCACAGAGAGGGGAAATGGTGACCAGATCAGGAGACATCGGCCGCTGGGGCGGCCACCGCCACGGCCCCCAAACCTCCATGGCGCCTCCACAAACACCGCCCCCACCATCCAGCACCATGACGTGGCCACGCGCAGTCGCAGGGATGAGATGCCACATCGCCGTCGTGACCCAGATCCGCATAGTCCCAGGGACGAGACGCCGCGTCGCCGCCGTGGCCCAGATCCTGGGTCACGCCCCCGTGCGATTGGGTGTCCCGCGCCACCCGGTGCGACGAGAGGGGAGATGAGAGTCTCTGCCACCGCTGTCGGCCGCCGGTGCATAGCCCGATGGTTTCTCCAACTACGATGGAGGTAAGGGAGGGAGATTAGGTGGTGCCTGGCGGCTAGGGTCTGGGGAGCCACCCGAGTCGCTCTATGCGGGGGACGATGTGGGGGCATGTTACTTCTATATATGTGCCAGGCAAACACGCGAGACTTGAATAATTTCAGGGTGCTTGATGCTTGATGGTCCTCACCGTCCTTGGGGCCGGCTATGGTGGCTCATGGCTAGACGCTCCCCCACCTTACTTAACTGGACGAACTTCGCCGGATTGGTATTAACCCCTCCCAATACTGCTCGTTTCGAATTTGGTTGTCCCTTAATTTTTGATTGTAGTCGAGGCTTTTTTCAAACCACATACTCGTTATGACTTCCTGCTTCCGGTGAATCACACTCGCACCGTGCTTCCTAATGAAGTGGTCAATTAGTATAGCATTAAGAGTATAATTGTATATTCGCAACTTTTGTGGCATCACACTTGCACGGTGCTTGCACGCAGTTAGAGTAATTTTCTATTAACGTTTTGGGAACACATGGAAAGCATGCGATCAGTATTAACAATTTTCTAAACAACTTCGATTTTACCCACCGTGGCAACAATTTAATATGCAACAATGATTGATGAAGTTTCAGAAGGAAAGTTAGTAGCAGCATGCTTCGGAAGAGGTGGAAGAACATTTGATATGCGAAAAGTGCATCCAACATCAAAATCTCATGCTAACCGTTTTAAAAATTGTTGAACATAACTAGAGGCATATAGGTATTAGCACATCAATGTAAAAATAGGAAACAAAATGAAAAATTCAATCGTGAGTTTGGATTAACACGACAAATCTCCCTTTAACAAACCAATTTAACTGTTAAACCGATTTAGCAACTTTGTAAAAAAAACCTTATGGAAATAAAGAAAAAGAGTCACGAAGAAGTTTTCTTAGGAGAAAAAGCCACAAAGAAGCACCGACTAAGTATGATTGTCAAGGTTTAGGTTGTATGCCTGTATCGAATTATGCAACAGGAATATCAGAATATTCAACTAAGATCTAGAGCAACTTGAGATCTCGATATATGTTACTTCATAGCAAGCCAATCTTTTTTAGTTAGGGACACGTGCACGAAGGCTTCTTGGCTTTCATCGACAATGTCAAGACGGCTCTGGTATCGAAGCAGCGACAACGGCGTGGCGACGGTTCGTACTAGTGGCGGCAGTGGTTGTTTGGTGGTCCATGGACATTGATGTAATTTTTATTATTTCGAGGTGCATACTTCCGGTGAATCTTTACAATAGATCTTGATTATTTTCACAAATAATAGTAATTAAGTTATTTTCTTAGATTTATTACTAGTTAAATTACTGATTTGGCGAGCCTGAACTTCAAACCAGAGTTTTTCCAGAGGAGGAAAGCCTGAGTTCTTTTTTTTTGAGAAAAACGAAAGCCTGAGGTGGGGTTGAGTTCGTCCCCAAACCACAAAATTTTATTGGCCTGGTCCACGAAGAAGTAGTTGGGCTGGATGGGCTAGATCTGCTTGATTGATATGCACATCCCATGTTCTATTCTTTCCGTATTCTCTCTCTCTCTCCTCCGGAAACAAGACGTCGAAAGGTGCCCGGATTTTACTGAAATCGCACAATCTCAGAGGCCAAAACCCTCGCCCCCAAACACCCCACCGCCGGCGATCTCCTCCTCCTCCTCCGATGGATCTCTCAGCTGTCCACGCCGCGCTCTCCGCCAAGTCCTACTCCGCCATCGCCACCCTCTGCGACGACCTCCTCCTCCAGGTACGGATACTCCCCTCTCTCCCGCCCCACCCGTACAAGGGTTAGCGACGAAGCGTCTCCGCTCCCTCTGCCGGCCCCTCCCCCCCTCCCCTAACGCGCCCCGTGGTTCGACTCGCAGGTTGCGTCCCGGGGCGTCGCCACCGACGACTGGCCTTACGCCGTTCATCTCCTCGCCCATCTCTACCTCAACGACCTGTATGTAATCTGCTCCCGCCCCCTTTTTTTTCCTGTTACTTTTTCCGCGTTCGGATTTGGATTTTAACCTAGCGCAATGATGTGTGGTCTGGGGGCGTGAGCAGGAACAGCGCGAGGTTTCTATGGAAAACGGTGCCGCAGGAGGTGAAGGAAGCTCATCCGGAGCTGGGCGCCATCTGGAAGATTGGCCAGTGCCTCTGGAACCGTGACTATGCTGGGGTCTATACTTCCGCACAGGGGTTCGAGTGGGGGCCTGAAATCGCTGATTTTGTGGCCGGCTTCCTAGGTATCTCCCTTGTTTTTTTTTTTTTACTTTTTAGCGTCGTATTATAGTTCTCCTGTGCTAGTTGTGTAATGTAATGTAGTTTGGATTGCTTGCTTTGATAGAGCTGTGGTAGTTCTGTTTTGTGATGGGGGTGGGGCGAAGCAGATAAGTAGGTTGCCCCTTATGGAGTATTCATGGAGAAGGTTTATCTTTGTACTTGGACAACACCCTCACTGAATTTGAATGTGACATTGGTAGTAGAATTTTTTGCTATGATATCTGGTCGCTGAAGAACTCTAGTGCATATAGGAAATATTGGTCCCACAGATGGTTGTCGCATTGTATCCACATATGATTTTGGTTTTAGATAAGATGTTGGCTATTTCGTGCCTAGATACTGCTGATAGGGGTTGTTTCTCTAATCAACAGTACAGTTATGCCAGCTACAGCGCTTTTTGTGGTACCGATGTGGTATGTTTGTAGATCTAGAGAGGTTAAATTCTTGTATGAATCCCCTGCGATCTTTTTTCCTGCCGGAAAAAAAGGTTGATCTCTGAACTTATCATTGGGGTAATATTGTCCCTGTTACTTTCATGGTTAACTGATCTTGTCTTGCTTACAATGTTTGGAATTACTCGTATATTTGTTTTTGTTTTCGATTGCTCTATTGCCTTACTGGCTAACATGGAGTTTTCACTTTGGCTTGTAAATGTGTAGAAAGCTACAGAAAGAGGATATTTGAGCTGTTGACTTCTGCGTATACCACAATCAGCATTGCAGATGTGGCTCACTTCATGGGGATGAGCGAGGAGGATGCTACTAACTGTACGTTTTTCAATTCAGCTAGATAATAGCGAGTTTTGAGCATTCTAACCTGTTTAATTGCTTGATTGGTTTGAAACATGCAAACTGCATTTTTTTAATCTAAGAATAATAATAGATCTTCCCTATGAAGTGTTACCCTAACACATATAAGATCAAACTCTAATTTAGTTACTGAGTGAGATGGTTTGCTACCTACAGTTTTTTAGTTCTGTTGATATCCTTGAGGAGCATGTGTCATTATCTGCACCGGCAAACCTAAGCATATTTGAGATGGCAATCTTTCCTTTTTTTATTGATCATGAATACTTCTCTGAACACATATATTGCTGGCCAGGAGGGCCCGGATCCAGTTATGTCTTTTAGAAATCCTATCCTTCTGATATATCAAACTTATATTATGAGAAACAACATGCCTATTCTCTCTGTGTGTCCATCTGCTATTTAAGCATCTGTGATCTATATGTCCTGCGTTCCTTCTGATAGTGAGACGAGTATGATTTATTTGAAGGTGCAAGTGCTCTGCTGCTCTGCTTCACATTTAAAAATCAGTGAATTTAGATTTACGACCCCTAGGATTGGCACTTGATCATTTACCAACCGCTGCCATGTGTCCTTGGCTCTGGGACCTTATCAGGTGTTAAATCTTCAAGTGCTAATCTCTGGGGTTCTGAATGATTGCCTCAAGCATAATGATCTCATGCTTGTAGATAAAATTATGTTTATTACAATGACCTTGCCTTGCTGGTCGACTGAGCACATAAAGGAGAAACCTTTCCTATATGGCAGTCAATTCCATTCCAGGCCATCAGACATTATCTCTTCCCTAGATTGTACACTGCACATTCACACTATTGTTTGCTTATCAATTTGCACAATAATGCAGAATTTTTATGTAACCTAGTTTTTTGAGCTAAGTGTGACTGTGAGGCACAATGATTTGCTACTTATTCATAGTTACTCCCTCCGTCACATAATATAAGAGGGAGTAGAATTCTTGTATAAAGTAATATAGGAAGAGTAATAGTATTACTTACACCATCATTACTTTGTTGGATTTTTTATATGAATAGGAACTGGCTGGTATTATTTAATTGATATCCGTATCAAATTGCGTTAACCACGACTGTGCAGAGTCAGGGGACATGTTGGATGCAACCAACTACTTCTCTGTGTATGCACTTTTACTTGAATAAGTACATCTTTTCTTACACTTCTACTCCCTCCATTTCTAAATATAAGCCCTTTTAGAGATTTCAATACGAACTACATACAGATGTATATAGACTTCTTTTATAGTGTAGATTCACTCATTTTACTCTGTATTTAGTCCATATTGGAATCTCTAAAAAGGCTTATATTTAGGAACGGAGGGAGTAATTATCAAAATCCCTGGTGGGTAAGAAGGTTTTAAGTCGTTTAACTTGGTTCCAGTTTGACTAGTTGTTCATCTGTTGTTGCACAGTTGCTTTTCCTTGTTAGATACTCCCTTCGTCCCAAAATAAGTGTCTTAACCTTAGTACAATTTTGTACTACTAAAGTTATAACAAAGTTGAGACACTTATTTTGGTACGGAGGGAGTATCACATACTGTACATTAATGTTGTCCTGGAAAATGATTATGCATGTGCTTTTTAATTTTTTTATTATTGCTGCACTGTTGCTTTTACTTGTGTGAATGCAGTTGATGACAACCGTTGCCTTGTTCCTGGATGCAGATGCGGTGCAAAATGGTTGGAGTCTGGATGTGGCAACCAAGATGCTTACTGTCAGAAAACAGAAGCCCCAGACTAACCAGAAGCTTGATGCAAGCAAACTGCAGCGTTTGACCGAATGTGTTTTCCACCTGGAGCACTGATGCCATCCGTTCCGCTTTTAAGGCGCCTATTAATCGTACATGGTGGTAGCTTAATACTGCACGGCTAGATTGTGTTTTGGCTGGAAAGGAGAGATCGCTCTGTACTGAATATGCGTCTTCTGGTTGAGCGAGCTTGCCATTTCTGTCTTGTTTGCTTGTTAACAAGGAGTGCGTGTATTGAAGTTAAGCGAATGATTACTGTGCCTATGTTGAACCTATTAGTTGTTTTAAGTGATGTGAAGTTTGAAATTATTCTGGGTGTAATTCACTGTTGGTCACCGTGAATTCTCCCTTTCTATGGATCGCTGTTGAACATAGGTACGACTGCGAAAGTCCTCTTCTGCGCATGAGCACATATGCACCTTTGAACAGTAAATTCTAAAAAATATAAAGAATTTTAAAAAAGAATTTTTTTTCGTGACAAAACATGTTGAATGATTCAAATGCATACAAATTTTCATCGTGGAATGACATTCATGTTAGTTGTGGCAGAAAACATTCAACAATGGTTGCAAAAAAAAACAGTTTTTTTTTATTTTCTATACCTTTTTTTAATGATTTTCTTGTTCATCCGAGTCCATTTGAGCTCATGAACAAATACCCCACATCCTCTTTCAGCCATCTTTTCTAAGAAAACACCAAAAGAAAATATTAAGACCGGGGCTGTGACAGGCCCTGGCTAGGGAATTCAGTGAACAGAAAGAGATTCAATGATGGAACACTTAGAAACAGGGGAAGCTCAGCATGTCACAGAGATTTACTACTCTTAGAGGAATGCTGGCTAAATTTAGGAGATTACAAGGAAGTTTATGCCGGCCAGAACATGGCAGCGGCTAGGGTTCAACCCAAATACTTGAGATAAGATAGCCTGCCTTTTTTAGGCTTACACAGCTTACATAGCCAGCTTCAGGAACGACCCAAGAAATGAGATACACAGTAGAAGATTGTAGACCCTCGGATCCGATGGACGGTGCTCAATCATCAGCCGCTGCGAAGAGGTAAGTGAGCTGCGGGTGAACAGTGAAAATGTCTAATTCTTCGGAATCTTCAGACTTTAGGAGGTTGGGTCCTGACAGGCTGCTAACTCTTTTTTTTGAGGAGGTTGGGTCCTGACAGGCTGCTAACTCGGTCGGCCTGCCTGGCCCAGAGCACGGCCGACTTTTTTATTTTTGACGGAAGCTGCGAAGGTTAAGGTCGAGTCGAATTACTATTTGAAGACGTTACGTTGTTCTCCCCGATTTCCTTGACCAAACGCAATGGTCGTGTGCAGCAGTTATATACATAAGCCAAAGCAAACCCTGCTCCAGTTGCAAGGGTTATTCAAATCCAAAAGACGAGACGGAAGATGGCGGCGAAAGCTGAGACGCATGCGCGTCCGCTCGAGACGGAGGCCATCGAGAGCTGCGTCGATCCGGGATTCTGGGACGCCGTCCGCTGCCTCAAGCTCGACGTCCTCGGCATCGACGACTCCCCAGTCCCCATCACTGGTGAGCATCCTCTCCCCGTTGATTGTCTCCGAATTTTTGCGACAGTAGCGATTTAGGGCGGGAGGAGGTTATATATTTTGTGCATCGAATCGAAGAAGGACAGATGATCTTAGCTGTGGGTGCTCCTGGAGTTTGTTTTTTAATTAGATCCGTGCTCCTCCAGTTGGTGGCGCAATGTTTCTTAAAAATCAGTGTTACCTCAAATGTTGCTTGAGATGGCACTCTTCGTGTGTAACTTGCTACTAGTGTAAAAAACGCTCTTATATTATCAGGTTACTTTGTTTGTCAGGTTATTGTTCTAGTCTTGATTGCTCTTTTTGCTTGTACACCTTGTTGTGAACAGTTGTAGCATTAATTTTTTTACGGGAAACAACTCTTGGGAATCCTGAAAAGAAGTGGAATTCCCCTGCCTCAACCACGAAGCACTTGAATTTGTGTTTTTTTATTCTTCTATTCTAGTTTGACTGTTTGTGTATGTTTTGGCTTGTTAGTTATTTTGTATGTAGGTCTAGTTATGTAATTTGAATATACTATAACATTTTTTTTCTATTTTTGTGCTAGGCTATTATGCTTTGTGCACACACCCAAAAAAACCGGGTCTCGTCAGGCTATCCCCAAAATCATTAGAAGCATCAGCTCTCAAATCATTTCACTCTAGGAACAGTTGTACAATTCCGGGGACCCTCATAAACACTAATAACATGCTGGGCTTCAAAAATCTGGATGTGGACTTTCTACTCAAAGAAGAAGGGGAAAAGGTACATTGTTTAATGTGTGATCTTTTAATCTTATTTCTTCCAGGTTTTGTTAATTTTCGCAATTTTATGTTGTATATAATGTGGATGTAGATCTTTTATGATATTTTATCTGGTAAAATCGAAGAGGATCCTACTCTTCTATTGAGGTTTCTTGTGGTATCATTTCTGGACCTAAAGAATTGGAAGGTCTATTATGACGTTGCATTCCCCTCGTTGGTTTTCAACTCTAAAATGACTTTGCTCAGACTGCATAGCGCCTCAGAGGTGCTAAGCCAAGGGGAGGTAATGCACCTAATATTACATATATATTTTCTTTCTTTTTATGATAGAAAGTGAGTGTCACGTATTTACTTCTCTAGGTAACATCCTTGTCTAAATCAATGAAAGTGTGGCGTGATTCAAATGAAACAACAGGTTTGATAAGTCATTTCAAACCGAACTTTCTAAGCTTATCATTAGCTGTATATATTTCTCTAATTTGTTATATTTCTGGATAATTATTTTAGGTTGTCCATTTTTTTGGGTCAATATATACTCAGAGTCTTCTGTTGTTACAAGACAACTTAAAGACTGGAAAGATCAATCATGCAATGGCCAAAAGGTATGTTTGTGTCATCCATTTCATCACAATTTTTTGTGGTCTCATATTTGATATATTATTTACGAGATATCTTATTATAAAATTTATATTATTTATGTAATGTTCTGTAAATGTAAAATGTAAAATGTAAAATATTGGTGGCCAGTCTTACTATGCAAAGTATGTGAGGGTCCATGCACTTTTTTGGAAATTATATTATCATAAGAGGGATATTTAGCTCTTTATTTGGTTTATTATGAAGGACCATACTAATGGGTGTCCATTTTGTTTTTAAGCTATAGATATAAAGGACCCTCTCCTCCCCTCTAATTACATGCATGCATTAGAATGACTCCATCTTCTCCCATGTGCACCCCCCTTTAATTACATGCATGATTACATACATGCATGCACTAGAGGACAAAGAGCTGATGTCATCCTAGATTTTTCCCATTTTTAAAATTTTTTCTAGCTCAAGCTGCATGTCTGATTCGAAATCCATTTTCACCGTTAAATCCGTTGCGACGGGATCTTCAAAACTAGATGTCATGTTGGTATGTTTTGATAACCTTTTTTTGGGGTGAAAAGTTACCATGCTACATAGATTACCACACATGCAGTACATAAGTTATCATGGTATATACACAGAAGTTACCAGGGGCAGAAAAAACGGTCCTCCAACCTTCTCCCTCACATGCACATGCTTGCATGTAGAAAAAAGCAAAAGTGATGATGTTAGCCTAGATCCCTCTCCAATTTCAAAAATTTAAAATAATTTGTACCTCAAACCGTTGGTCCCATTCAAAATCTGTTTTCAGCACTAAATTTGCCGCGACAAGATCTTCAAAACTAGATCCTATGTTGGTATGTTTCACTGATTTTTTTAGTCAAAACTCAAAAGTTACGACACGTGGGCTACACAAGTTACCAGTCCTACAATATGTAAGTTACCTTGGCATTTACACTGGAGTTACCATGGGCATAAAAATGGTTTCCCCACCATTCTCCCCACATACACATGCATGCATGCACTAGAGGACAAAAGCTGATGTCAGCCTAGATTCAGTTCAATTTTGGTTTGTATCTCAACGGTCGGTCTGATTCAAAATCCATTTTCACCATTAAATCCGTTGCGGCGTGAGCTTCGAAACTAGATCAAATTTATGTTTGACGACTTCTTTGGGTGTCAAATATTACCTAGTATGCGGTACGTAAATTACCGCCCCTGTGGTATCGAAGTTGACACGTTTTTTCACAGAATTTACCATGGTATGTTTTTTCTCTGATCAAAGTTACCGTGGTGTTTGTACCTAAGTTATCAGGTTTGTCATGTGTATATTACCATTCTATTTACATAGAAGTTATCGGGGGAATGTTTTCAACTCCTTTTTTTCCCGGGTAAAAGTTACCGTGGTATTTGTACGCAAGTTATTAGCTCTGTGGTGCATATATTACCATGCTATTCATACAGAAGTTATTGGGGTATGTTTTCAACAATTTTCTTCCATGTCAAAGTTATCACGGTGTTTGTACGTAAGTTATCAATTGTACAGTGCGTAAACTATCATGATATTTACACAAAAATTTCCGGGGTACGTTTAACAACTTATTTTCCCGGTTCAAAAGTTACCCTGTGCTTGCTGCGTAAATTACCATGTTGTTTATACAGAAGTTACCGAAGTATGTTTCAATAATTTTTGTTCCTAGATCAAAGTTCATGTAGGTACAAAGTAGTTATCAACATAGAGATTAATATAGTTACCAACTGTGTAGTATGGACGATGCAGTTGTGTAACTAAAAAGTTGGCATTGTTCATAACTGTAGCATATGCCATTGGGTAACTACATAGTTACTACGGAGGCTAGGTAGACCGCAGCCGTTGGATTTGGTGAGAACCACCGGCATTCACCTTGTCTTCGGGGCATCGTGTAAAATTCGTCCTACAACAAAGTCTCCTCATGCAGTGTTAACCACCAACAAAAAAGTTTAACACAAAAGTATGACGGGTGACCGAGCCGGTCAAACTCCCAATTTGCTGGTTCCATGTCCTGACTGCTACTACCGCGATTCATGTGCAGAGAAATAGGATCTAAGTTAGCATTCATGCGTAAGTGACTTGGTAGTTTAGTTGGTACTGGGTTTAGTCCTCACTCAGGGTTTTTTTCAAGTTTGAA